GAGTTTTTAAATATTATATTTAAATGGATTTTTGTTTGTCTTTATTGAACATTTTTCATATTTTTAGTATTTTTTTTTACCTTTTAAATACATCAAGGGTAGATGCATGTGAAAGTTAAAAAATAAATAAATTAAAACATGAAAATAATTCACTAAAAATAAATAAAAATTCTAAAATACCTCCGTTTTTGCCTATGTGTTTACAGGTGAAATTTAACAATTTATTTTTTTTTGTTTTTAACAAAAATTAGAAATTTTTTTTTTTGGGGGTAAGTGGAAAAGTGGCTTTGTTTGGTTTGTATTTTTAAATATTATATTTAAATGGGGTTTTGTTTGTCTTCATTGAACATTTTTCATATTTTTATGGTTTGAGTTTTTAAATATTATATTTAAACGGGTTTTCGTTTGTCTTTATTGAACGTTTTTTATATTTTTAGTATTTTTTTTACCTTTTAAATACATCAAGATTGGATGCATGTGAAAGTTAAAAAATAAATTAATTAAAACATGAAAATAATTCACTAAAAATACAAACAAAAATACACACATTTTTGTTCGAATTTTAATTTGGTTTTATTATTTAAAAAAATATTTTAGTCAATCTATTTTACTTTTTAGATGCATTTTAATTGCGTGCATCTACGAAATATAAAAAAAATAATTAAAATTTTCAAAAAAAAATTACTTAAAATAAACAAAGGCTTATCTAAAAATAATTTTTTTAAAATCAAACCAAACATACACTTTTCCATTTGGCAGTGGTTTTGGTCCAGGCCAAGATCGGACTGGACCGTGCTGTTGGGCCCGCAGGGACCCACCACGGGTCCCGTTTTGAAAATCCGAACCATTCAATGTATAGAACTCGTTGAGTACTATATGTCTGTAAAAAATCACGTTAATCGGATATCGATAGCTATGTGAACAAAACAGTTTTTTATCAACCGTTAATTATTTCACCGTCCATTTTTTTATACAAAACTGATTTGATCACATAGCTATTGATATCCGATCAACGTGATTTTTTTCAGGCATGTAATACTCGACGAATTCTACACATTGAACGGTTCAGATTATCAAAACGGGCCCAAGAAATGGACCCCATAGGCCGAACTGGACGGGTCGAGTCTTGATCTCAACTTGAGACAAGCTAGACCCTTTCCATTTATCAACATTCAACAATTAAAAAGCTACTATTTATTTCCATTTTTTTTTTATGTTTAGTAATAAAAAAAATGTGTCTAAATTTTTTACTTTTCAAGGCTTTTAGGCTAGAAAGATCTAAAGAGTATAAAAATAAATTTCAACCAAGAATGGTCATTGTGTAAAACCAAGGGAAAAGGCTCTGGGCCTGGCCTACAGTAGGCCCAGTGTCAGGTCCATCAAACTTACTGTTAACCAGCAACGGCCGAGCCCTTGTAGGCTTGGGACCAACTAACCAACAAAGAAAGTTTTTAACTCCTCAAGATCGGGTTCGAACCATGCTAATATGGTGATACTATATGTATTAATTAGTGTAAATATTAATATATTAATTAGTGTTATAATATTATTATTAATTACATTTATTATAAAAGTTACAAATATTTAAAATCATAAAAATAATACTACATCATCTATTAATACATTAATATGTATATTAATTGATACATATAACATTATTCATGCTATGTAATTAAAAATTTACTTAACTATTTTACTCTCTCGTATAATGGGTGGGATGTTAGAATTAACCATGAAGAAGTCTAAGGTTAAGTTTGGCTAACCTAAAAAAGTGCACTTATTTCATCTTTTTATCTTTTTTGGGTTACATCAATCAACATCTCCTCTCTACTTTTTCTATACATAATACAAAAAAAGTCAAAAAGTACACTTATTTAGTCTTCCCAAACTTGGCCTAAGGGTACTTTTGAATGTGGGTTAATTTTTTAATTTTTTTATTATTTTAATTTGAAATTAAAAAATTTCATTTGAAATAAGCTTTTTGCTTAATTTTTTTGAGAGAAAAAAAATTATAAATTAAATGTAATATTTTATCTTATTTAATTAAAACAATCTGTTTTATCTCATATAACTATTTTAACCCAAACTAATATTTCAAATAGGGCCTAAACGTCTTGTCGTGAGCATCTCTAATGGGTCGATTATTAACTCATTGATTAGTGTCAGTGCTGTTAACATAAATTTTATCAAATTTTCACTTTCAATGAAAGTGTCAACGTTACACCAATATTTATTTTATTTGTTATATATATAATAATAATATTTTGGTTTCACTTTTATATATGTTAGAGCATCTCCAACCGTGAAGTGCATCAAAATATTCATTCACTCACTAAATTAATAAATATTTAACATATAAAATTAAAATTTATTTTTATTTATTTGTACACTTCAACACATTTCAACAAATAATTTTAACATCTCTATTGAAAATTTCCAGCAATGAGGGTACACAGCAACATGAGAGAGTGGTCAAAGGCAATGTTTTGAAAATTGAATCGGTGGGCGGACCGAAAAAGGGATTAGATGAACGAATTATTGGTTCAATCGTAGGATCAAAACGGTCGAATCGTAACGTTATAATTAAAAAATATAATTATAAATTATAAAAAAATAAAAATATATATAAGTATTGAAATAATAAAAAAAATGTTGCATAATATTTGATAAAGTCATAATTGATATTAAAAAAAAAAGTCCATAGTTTAAAGATATTAAAAAAATTTAACATTCCCTTCAAACAAAATTGATTGAATGGTAAATTTAATTTTTGAGGAAAATGAAATTTTCAACTCTCCCTCCAATCAAATATGATTCAAACAATTTGATTGGATTTCACATTGAATTTTTAGGTTTTCTTTGAACAATTTTTTTCTATAAATAAGAATAGACTTTCATAATTTCTTCAAGGTTTCAATGAAACTCCTCGTCACGAGAGGAGACTCTTGAAATAAGAGTTTTTAATCAAAATTTTGATAAAAGAAAAAAAAAATCAACCATTTGTTCGGTCGAAAACCAAGACCGGTTCGCTGGTTTTACCGATTGAACCACCGATTTTCCCGATTCTCACAAACAAGATTGGTTTTTGGCCTAAGCTGGTTTCTGTGGATCATCCGGACCAGAACTAGGTCCGGTCACTAATAGGGTTGTTCAAAAATCCGTTCAAACCGGTAATCCGGACTGAACCAGACTGAATCATACGGTTTGGTTCGGTTCTATTAAGAATTGGTTCGGTTTCGGATTAAGAAATATGAGAACCGTAAAAACGGTTCGGTTAATGGATTTTATGAAAAAATCACTGTTCAAACCGAACCGAATCGAATTTTTTTTTTTTTTTTAAAAAAATATATATATATATATAATATCAAGTTTTATTTTTATTAATTGGTTTTTTATAATTTTAATGATATTATGATAGTATAGATATATAGTATTAAGTAATGCCTTAATATTATTAATTTTTATCATGAGTTAAATGTAATTAGTTTGAGTAATTATTTTGCTAATATTAACAATTTATTTTTGTAAATAGAAATTTTTGAAACCGTAAATCAAACAGAAACTGAACCGTTTTTTCGGTTTGGTTCTGGTCCAGTTTTACAAGTGTAACGGTCTGGTCTGGTTCTCAAAATCACAGAACCGTTAGGATCAGTTCGGATCTTGAATTTTCTTAGAACCGAACTAATCCAGACCGTGTATACCCCTAGTCACTAGTTATACCTGTTGAACCGGCCGGTCCGATCGGTTCTTAAAACATTGGTCAAAGGACATTAATGTGCTTACAATTCTGTAAATTATAGGGGTTCAAAATTCAAATTGTCCTTTAACTAGCTCAAGTTTTAGGTGATCAACCTTCCTACCCTAATGCCAGTTGTACCCATCTCACAATTTGCATGATCTCCAATTGAGGTGAACCTCAAAGATTGTGTTTTCACCTAGAGGACAGCCCATGAGATATATGCTCAGTTTCATTTACTTTTCCATTGTGTCTGATTTATGAATTCAAAATTCATAAATCAAACACAACCTTACGCTGCAAATTAATAATAAGAAAACATAAGTTGAAAGTAATTCTTTTCAATGTTTAGATAATTTTTTTTTTTTTTTTTTTGCTGTAATATTGTTTCCACCTTAAAAATTGTATGCAAAAGTTGTACTAAACATCTACTACAAATTTTTAAGATTAACAAAATAATAATAAACAACTCTAACTAGCTGCACCAAAAAAACACCATAATATGGCTTGATTTGGGAAGTAGGTTGGCTTTTTGACTTTTTAGCTTTTTTGACTATTTTAGCCTGGGCTAAAAAGCTTGGTTTGGGAAGGGCTTTTTGGCTTTTTGGCTTTTTTGACTTTTTTTGTGAGAGAAAAATGTAATGATTATAGGTTGGATGTGATGTTTTGTTTGTTATGACTAAAATCCACCTTAAAAATTGTATGCAAAAGTTGTACTAAACATCTACCACAAATTTTTAAGATTAACAAAATAATAATAAACAACTCTAACTAGCTGCACCAAAAAAACACCATAATATATGTCAAAGAACTTATTTGATGACAAATTTGACAATCTAATTAAAGGAAATTCTAAGGGAGAATGGTTTGTCCCAATAAGTAAATAATAATATATTTTTAAATTCATCAGTGTAAATTGTGATGACTCCTTCCACTTTTGACCTATGCAAATTTATGTGGACTTTTCTTTGCTCAATAGAGACGTATTATTTTGTTTGGAGAAAATAGAGATGCATTATTATATTTTATTGTCTTGCACTCATCTGTTTGGTTGTATTAATGTTTTTTTGACTAGAAAAACTAAAATATTTAAAAATAATTTTGATTTTTTATTGAAAAAAATGTTAAAAAATAGAGAGCATGAAAAATAATTTTTAATTTTTTTTTTACTATTGTAACTTATTGCCAACCAAGTAGTGATAAAAAAAAAATAAAAAAAATAAATGCAGAACAAGTATGGTGGAGAATCAAAATCCCACTTGAGTACTCCAAAATAATCACCCACATATCACACTAACCAAACAGAACTTACCTCATTTCCCAAAAAAGGGTCAAAATGGCAAAACATTCCCACCAAACAAAGCACAAACACCAAGAACACACAAAAACAAAAATTCCTAAAATACTGATGAAAATTCGTTCAACCCAAAAAAATCACATAACATTAAAGAGAGTCAGATTTTCATACTTTCCATTTCAAGGGTTTCCAAATTTTCCGAGAAAATCGAAAAAAAATCCTCAAATCACTTGTCAACCTCACCCTCCTCCTGAAACGCGGAGACAGGGAAAGATCTGGAAATCCCAGTGGGAGTCCCAAACGTGATCTTCCCAGAAGCAGGATCGTTGATGTAAATCTCAGAAATATTGATCCACATCATGAGTTCACGGCTCTTGACCCCCGTGAGGCGCCGCATACGGCGGTCCTCCACGAAGGCTGTGACAAGGGTGTCGTAGGAGACGCGGCGGCCGATGCGGAGGAAAGTGTGGTCCTTTTTCTTCTTCTGAGAGAGCCAGACGAAGCCAGTGGACTCGTTGTAGCCGACCTCGATGAGGTCGTCCAGAGGTAGGAGACCTTTGGGGAGAGAGATCTTCTCCAGGAGTTCGCGCGATTTCTTCTTGCAGAGCGACTCGCCGGTGTAGATTTCTGCGTTTTCGCGGTGGCTTGCGATCATCTGTTGGGATGACATTCTGTTTCTGCTGGGGTTGGGGATCTGTGTGTGTATGGAGGTTTGTGGTGTGGTGTGAATGGTGAGAGATGGTGGGACTCTATTAATATAGGTGAAAGATATTTTGGAAAGATGGTTTTAAGCATTAAACTCCATTTTTTTGTTACAACAATGATTCATCCCATTAAAAATACAGTAATGCTAGGTATCATGAAAAGTTTTTCATGAAAATGGTCATGAAAGATTTGTGACCTTTGGATTACACTTACAATAAAACACCATACACTAATCAAGGTAATCTAAGGGCCATAAATTTTTCATGATCCTTTTCATGATAAAATTTTCATGATCTCTAACATTTCTCTTAAAAATATCATCACTAATAGTATTAATGTATTAAAAAAGCGCGATTTCTTCTTGCAGAGCGACTCGCCGGTGTAGATTTCTGCGTTTTCGCGGTGGCTTGCGATCATCTGTTGGGATGACATTCTGCTTCTGCTGGGGTTGGGGATCTGTGTGTGTATGGAGGTTTGTGATGTGGTGTGAATGGTGAGAGATGGTGGGACTCTATTAATATATGTGAAAGATATTTTGGAAAGATGGTTTTAAGCATTAAACTCCATTTTTGTGTTATACCATTTCTGACATTTTATATTTATTTATTTATTTTTATTATAAACATGTCAATTTTTGACCACCATTTCAAAATAGGCTATATAGAGGAAAGATTATGTGGACACTGCTCAAAAGGGTATTGTGGGTTGGTTTGGAATGAGAGTTGATTTTTTGATTTTTTAATTATTTTAGTTTCAGATTAAAAGTTTTGTTTAGTATTTTTTTTTTAAAATTTTTGTAAAATAAAATAATAATTATAATTTAAATATGATATTTTATTTTATTAGAGTGAAAAATTTATTTTATTTTTTTAAACTATTTTAGACCCAAACCACCCTAACCTATTATGCCAAACGAGTGCATTATTGAGTTATATACCTTATAATTAAAAATAATAATATAATTTTATATTTTTAGAGTTATAACTAAAATTAAAAAATAATTATTATTAAATAATACATCATAAAATATAACTAAAGATCTCATAAATCATAATTAAAATAAGGTTATAACTAAAATAAAAAATTGGTCATAATTAAATAAGTAAATGACATAACTTAAGAGTGCATATGATAGAGAGTGTATATAATATAATTTTCCATTATATAGATGTACATATGGGAAATACTATGGTGCACATAACTAAAAAGAAAAATTACATAATTTTAATTTTTCATAATTAAAAAAAAATCAAAACTAAATACAATATGAGATATAATTAAAGAACTCATTAGTCATAATTAAAATAATGTCAAAAATTTATTTTGGTCCTTAACTTTTCAACATGAGGCATAACTAAAAGAAATTCTATCATTTTGCTCTCTAATCTTTTACTTGTGATAAATTTAATCTTAAATTTTAAATATCGTTCCAAATAAGGAAAATTAAGAACATTATTTCCTTTGCAAACGAAAAATGTTCAATTTTAAGGATAAAGTCGTCAATTTGATAAAATATAAACTAAGTTGACAAAAATAAATGTCAAAAAATTATTTTTTAATTTTTTATTTTTATCCACTAAAGATAAAATTATATAAAAATAATAAATTTTTTACATTTTTACATTTATCTTTTTTTACCAAATTAAGTATTTGTTTGGATGCTGATCATATAATGGAGGATTGTTTTTGTTAATATTTTTGGATGTTTACCATGTAATAGATGGTTTTTTTTGTTAACATATATTTTTGGATGATTATCATATAATAAATGATTATTAGGCTTTTAAAAATGTAATCAATATGGTTAATATATGAAATGTTTTTAATTTTAGATTTTTTTATTTAATGAATTGGTTTAATAATGATATCAAAGTTATCTCCATATTTGACTTTTGAAAAAATAGAAACTAATTTAATGAAAATAGATATAAAAAAAAATTATTTCTACACTTTCAAAAAATAAAATTATATAAAAATGATGCGTTTTTAATTATTTTTCACCAATTTAATTTTTAGTTTCTTAGAAAAAATTTCTGAATATAGATTTTGAAAACTAAGCCAAATAAAACTTTATGACTAAGAAAGTGCTAACATTATTCATTAAAAATAAGGCAATTATGTTTCAAACTGTGAGAATATATTGTGTATATTAGGCATTAGGCATTAGGGAAGATTGTGTTGGTGTAAATAGGAATCTTTGTATTTCCTTTTTTAGTAATAGATTTAGGGTTATATAAACTGTTGAACTCTTTATAAACGTATACAATTTAATACACAATATTTTTCAAAAACTTACATGTTATCAGAACTGTGTTTGTAACCCTAGCACCGTCATCTTCCTTAGTTGTCTTTGATTTTTTGTATGGCGATTGAAGTCATGATCAGTCTCTGTGCTCGCAAACCCTAGCGCCGTCATCTTCCTCAGCCATCTCTGGTTTTCGAATTACGATTGAAATGTCATAATCAATCTATATGCTCGCGAGCCCTAGCACTGTCGTCTCCTTTAGCCATCTCTGCTTCGCCTCATCTCGCGTCGTTGTTTCTCTCATTTGCGATCACTGTATCTCTTTCTCTCTCTCTCTCTCTCTCTCTCTCTCTCTCTCTTTGCTCGTGGTAGTCTGGTTTAGGGATAGTAAACTTAAAACTTATTTTAGATTTATTATTGTTTGACCCCAGCACCTTCTGAATATTACAATTTTAACCCATTAATTCTATTACCCTTGTTTCATTATAATGTCGGACACTAAAATCCAAGCTATTAAGTGCAACCTCACCGGTAACAATTATGCCTATTGGGCCAATCACTACAACATATAAGAGTTTTAGAGACCAAATATTTTGATCTCTAAAAGTGAAAATTTTGTTGCAAAAGACATTTAGGGACTAATTTCTATCATCGCAAGGATATTCACTAAAAGGTCGTCTCGAAAAGTCAAAAATAAGGTTTTTAGTGACAATTTTGAAAATATCACTAATAAATAGACTTTTAGGGACAAAATAATATGGTCTCAAAATGGTTTATTTTTTGAGACAAAAAATTTGGTCTCAAATAGATAATAATTCATCACTAATGTCTAATTTTCGTTGCTAAAAATATAATAATGACATTTTTCGCAACAAAAATATTTGGTACCTAAAAAATAATTTTGTCCATAAATTTTGGTCCCCAAAACCTTAATTTTTTGTAGTGAGTGTTATGAAGAACTTTCTTCTTTGTCAGAAAAAAATGCGATTATGTTTTTGGTTCTGTTCCTCGGCCATTGGACTCAAAAGCGAAAGGATATTTGATTTCTTGTGATATTTGAGATTGTGATAATACCCAAGTTCTAACCTGGTTTCTTAATTCTTTGGATGATTGTATTAGAATAATGCTTTCTAAATACAGTACTACCAAGGAGGTGTGAGATTATTTACTGGGTGTTTATCAATAGTCCGACTTTGCCAAGCGGTATGAGTTGGAAATAGCTATTCAGAGTACTCGTCAAGGGGATTAGACTATTCAGGGTTTCTATATTGAAATGACAAGTCTCTAGGATCAATTGGCTCTCATTAAACCACCTAGCCCCAAGGTACTAGACACTTATGTTGAGTTTCGGGAGCAGGGTCGTTTAGTGCAGTTCTTAACAGTTCTTTTCCTCCAGTACGAGGCTATCTGTGGCGGCATCCTTCATCAGTCTTCTCTCTCCCTCTATGGATATTATTGTTCGTGAGCTCCTCTCCGAGGAAACCCGTCTTAAGATGGCCAGTCAGACTTTGTTTCCATCTGTCTTCTTAGCTTCTACTTAGTGTCCTCTACTGTCGAACTTGCTACCTCATCAGCTTCAGGCTATTACAAAGCCCAAGAAGGGGCCACTAGCCTCTGATGAGTGTGCTTTTTGCCATCAAAAGAGCCAGTGAAAGTACAACTATCCCAATAAGGGCCATTAGTCTGCTCAGTCTTCTCAGCAGTCTCAGCCACAGTTCCAAGGTCCTGCTCCGAGTACTTTTCGCTCTCCTATTGCTTGTACATTATCTGTTTCGGCTTCTGATCCTGACTTGGCTTCCTTAGGTGCCCAGATTGCTCAATTTCAACATCTTTGGTCCACCTCTCAATTATCTTCATCTACCTATACTCTCATCTCTATTCATTCAGGTTTGCTTGGGGCCTCTTCAGGTATTCCTTTCTCTGTCTGGCTTTTGGATTCTGGTGCCTCTCACCATATGACTCCTCATCTTTCCTTACTTCAAAACTGTATCCTCCCTCCCTTTCCTATTACTATTAATATTGCTAATGGGTCTGGTATGTCTGTCCTATCTATTGGGTTTGTCTTATCCTCTGCTACGTCTGTTGTTATTATTCCCTTTGTTCTTTATGTTTCTCAACTGTCTGTTAGCTTACTTTTTATCAGTCAACTTGATGCTTCTAGTTTTGATATTATCTTTTCTTCTTCTGTTTGTTGTGTGCAAGATTAGGTGTTCAAGAAGCAGATTAGGACCGGCCGTAGGGTTGGAGATCTCTATGTGGTGGAAAGCCTGTATCTTCCTCTATCTATCTCCCTTGTTGCACTTTCATCTTTTCAGTTAAATGCTGAGTCGAGTCAGTTTTATTTATGGCATTCTTACTTAGGTCATTTGTCTGTTGATTGCTTGCGGTCTTTAGCTCAGTCAGGATTATTAGGTAAAGTTTCTCCTAGTCAAATTAATAAGTGTCAAGGATTTAAATTTGCTAAAATGACAGCTTTAGCTTTTAACAACAGTACTTTTGTTTCTGTTTTCACTTTTTCTCTTGTACAAATTGATGTCTGGGGACTTTCTCCTGTCCTCACTAAAGGGGTTCTGCGTATTATGTGTTTTTTGTTGATGATTGTACCTTCTATACTTGGGTTTTTCTTATGGCTCATAAATCTGACTTCTACCAGATATATTGTACCTTTTAGTCTATGATCACTACACAGTTCGGGGCCACAATTAAAATACTCCAGTCTGACCTGGATGGGGAATATTTTAAAACTAAATTTTGTGAGTATTTGGCTAAATTGGGCACCATTCACCAAATCTCCTGTACTGATACCCCTGCCCAAAATGGTCATGCTAAGCGTAAACACCGTCATCTCCTTGAGATAGCTCGATTTCTCCTTCTTTCTGCCTCTGTTTCGGCACCATTCTGGGGTGAGGCAATTCTTACCTTTGCTTTTCTCCTTAATCGTATGCTGACTTCCCTAGTCTCTAGTCAATCCCCTTATGAGGCTCTGTATTCCCAACCTCCAAATTATTCCATCCTACGTTTCTTTGGGTCTTCTTGTTTTATCCTCCTTCTCCGTAAAGATAGGGCCAAACTCAGTGTCTGGTCTGTCTTGTGTGTCTTTTTGGGTTACAGTTTTACTCAGAAACGCTACCGCTATTATGATCCTGTCACTCGTCTCCTTTATGTGTCCCTTCATGTTACCTTTCTCGAACGTCTGTCTTACTTTCAGCTTCCCTCTCTCACTGCTCCTGTTTCCAAAGAGGATTTGGTTCACATTGACCCATTTTCTTCTGAGGTCCCGTCTGATGAGTACATCTCCACTGTTCCTCCTGAGGCCATTCCTACTTCTTCATCTATGTCACCCATGGTTCCTTCTCCTCCTTCGTTTCTTCTTCCCCTCCGTTGTTGGTTTATTCTTGTCGCAAGGCTCCTCCACCACCGGTTGTTTCTACTCCTATTTTTGCTCCTGCTGCTTCTGACAACTCTGATCCTGCTGCACACTGATATCCTACTCATGACTGTCAATCTCTAAACAGGTTGGGTTGGTCTAATATATGTTTTTCTACTTCTTATCGTACTTTTTTGTCTGTTATTCATTCTTTTTTGAACCTCAGTCTTACACGGAGGCCTGTCAGGATCCTAATTAGGTTCAAACTATGGCGGATAAGTTGTTTGCCTTGTAGAAAACTAACACTTGGGAGTTGATTCCTTTGCCTACTGGCAAGAATCTGGTTGGTTGTAAATGGGTTTATAAAGCCAAGACTAATTTTAATGGTTATTTTGAACGCTACAAAGCTCGCTTAGTTGTCAAGGGTTTCTCGCAGACGTATGGTATCGATTATGAGGAGACATTTGCCCATGTTATCAAGATGATTACTGTCCGTACCTTGATTTTTGTTGCCGTTGTTTGACATTGGCCTCTCTATCAGATGGACATTAAGAATGCTTTTCTTAATGGTCATCTCACTGAAGAGGTTTACATGTGCCCTCCTCATTCTCCACTATTCTGGGAAGGTTTGTTATCTTCTGCATGCTTTGTATGGTTTGAAACAGTCTTGTCGTGTTTAGTATTATCGCTTTCATACTATTGTTACCGAGCTTTGGTTTCATCATTCTGCTTCCGACTCTGCTTTGTTTCTAAGACATACCTCGGCTAGTTTTGTTGCTGTCCTACTCTATGTGGATGATATGATTATCACTAGCTCTAACTCTTCTGCTATCTATGAGGTCAAGCAACATCTCTTCCCCACCTTCGAAATGAAAGATCTGGGTCCATTGCGGTATTTTCTTGGTATTGAGGTTGCCTCTTCTTCAAAAAGCTATTTTCTATCTCAGGCCAAGTATGCTAATGAGGTTATTCACCGTGTCGGTCTTACTAATACTAAGATTTCTGATACACCTATTGAACTTAATGTAAAGGTTAACTCTACTGATGATGTCCCTTTAGATGATCTCATTTTCTATCGCGAACTTGTGGGTTGTTTAGTTTATTTGACTATCACTCGCCTTAATCTTGCTTATGTTGTTCATGTGGTTAGTCAGTTCGTTTCTACTTCTCATTCTTCCCATTGGGCTACTTTGGTTTGCATTCTTCGCTATCTCCGGGGTACTATCTATCAGGGCTTATTGTTATCCTCTACTTCCTCTTTAGACTTGGTGGCCTATGCTTATTCTAATTGGGCTGGTGATGTTAATGATCGCAAGTCCACCTCTAGTTTTTGTATGTTTCTTGGTGATCCCTTGATCTCTTGAAAAAGTAAGAAACATATTATTGTTGCTCGCTCTACTGTAGAAACTGAGTACCGTGCTATGGCTCATGCTATTGCTGAGCTTGTTTGGCTTTGTTGTCTTTTCTCTGATTTGGGTGTCCCTTAGTCTTCTCCAACCTCTTTCTATTGTGACAACCGCAGTGCTATTCAGATTGCCCACAATACTATCTTCCATCAACGAACGAAATACATTGAGATTGATTGTCACTTTGTCTGCCAACATCTGTAGTCTGGCTCTATCTCTCTTCCTTTCGTCGCCTTGGCTTTGCAACTTGTGGACTTCTTCACCAAGACTCACACTATCGCTCGATTTCAGTTTCTTCTTAGCAAACTCTCAGTATTTTCTGCTAAAACACCTTGAGTTAGAGCGGGGGTGTGAAAATATATTGTATATATGGCATGAATGTGTATATTAGGCATTAGGCATTAGGCATTAGGAAAGATTGTGGTGGTGTAAATAGGAACCTTTGTATTTCTTTTTTTTCAATCATAGATTTAGGGCTATATAAAATGTTGAACTCTTTGTAAACATATACAATTGAATACACAATATTCTTCTTACACAAACAACATCAAGGACGAAACCAAGAATTCATTTGCGGGGGGGCCAAGACATAAATAAATTTTTTTATATGAATTGATATAAATTACTATTTTTTTGAATTCGAAAAGTAAACTAAAATTTAATATTAAATTAGTACGTAAAAAATAAAACCATATATTTAGTAAATGTAATATATGAATAAAAGCAAAGTTATGTATTAAAAAATTATTTATATAAATCAACTCAATTATCTATCAAAGTGGAACTCGACGCTCTTTCATATCTCGAAAGTCTTCAATGATTGACTCTGTGATAAAATTTTCAACAATTTCCTTTTCAATGTACACAAGCAAAGAGTCTGTAAGAAATTTATCTTCCATTTTGTTGCGAAGTCTACTTTTGACAATTTTCATGGCTGAAAATGATCGCTCCGTAGTTGCAGTAGAAACTGGAAGAGTAAGAACAAGTGTAATCACTCTATAAACAAGTTGATAGATCGTAGATTTGTTTGTCCTTACCAACCACTGACACAATTCAGAAATAGTAGACAATTTTTTGTAATCTGCATGCTGAACTACATTATGCTCGTAATAGTGAAGTTGCATTCTCAACTGTATTTTCTCTTGATCTTTGAAGTCTTGCAGATAAAAATTTTCTACTAACCGACAAATATCGTCGATTCTAAAAGTTTCAAACACATCTCGAGGATCTAGAGCTGAGCTAAGATTAAGCAACTCTACTGCATGTCCACTGAACCGTCCATTTAATTCTTGTAGTTGAGAATCTATTGCAGCATAAAAAATATCTACTCGATAATAATGCTCAATTGTAAAGTCATCTTGATGATCACGAGCTCGACCTCTACTCCTAATTTAAGGAGCATTCATATTCGGGACATCTATGTTACATACCTCGCAAAATGATTGCACATTGGCTAGTAAAGCATCCCATTTGTCATCTCTAAACTTTTGCAGAAGTGCCTTGGTAGATGAAACTAGATTCATTGCATTTAAGATGTCTTGAGATCGGCATTGCAAAGCTTGACAAAGTAAATCAGTGATCTCCAATATTTCTTTCATGAGATGCAAAATAAAGGCAAATTCAAATGAAGTCAATGTTTCATAAGCTGAGTCTGCATCTCCTCGTTGGGCAGAAGTCGTTCCTTCATTAATGATGTTCAGAAGAACTTCACATGTTGGACTGAATATTTTTATTAAGCTTGAAACTGACTTGAAGTGAGAACTCCAACAAGTATCTCCAGCTCGTTGTAAAGTGCCAATCTGGTTAAGTCCCTTTCCAGTCTCGAGCTCATCAATGTCAATCATATGTTTAATTTCAACAGCTTGCACAACTTTCAATTCATCATTGCGCTTTCATGAGGCACCAACAATATTGACAACAAAAGTCAATTTAGGAAAAAAATTATGAATTGGGATAACATCTTTCGATGCTGCCACTAAAGCCAACTGCAAACGATGTGCAAAACAATGAATATAATAAGCATATGGACAATCATTCAAAACTAATGCTTGTAATCCTTTCCACTCACCTCGCATATTGCTTACACCATCGTATCCTTGTCCTCGAATATTCTGAATATCTAAATTGTGATGAGACAATACAGAATATATTCCATCTTTTAGGGTTGATGCAGCAGTTTTAGAGACATAAATAAGCCCAAAAAAATGCTCTCTCACAAAACCATCTTTGTCAATGAATCTCAAAACTATAGCCATTTGCTCATTCTTTGACTCATCATGAGCTTCATCAACAATTATGCAATACTTTGCATCACCAATTTCTTCACGAATTGTATTCTTCACTTTGGTTGAAAAAATATGTAAAATTTCTTTTTTGAATCTTTGGTGATGCGTAAGAGGCATTTTTCGGAGCTTTATCTAATACTTTAGCAACATTATCATTATATAATCCCAACAATTTCACTATTTGAAGAAAACTTCCACGATTGATTGAATTTGGCCTTTCATCACGACCTCTAAAACATAACCTTGAAATGCAAGCAATCGGATTGTATCAATTGAGAACTTCAATCTTAGTCGATTATCTACAATTTGTTCAGAAGTGAAATTATCCAATACCTTTTGTATATGTTGAAATTGATTCATCAAGTCTTCACATGATCTCTCGGCAACATTGTGAAAAGAATTAGGATCTTTTCCTTTATGATTTAAAAAAGCACATTTTGCTCCATCCCTAACTTTTTTCCAATTCTGAAATCTATCAATAGTGAATGCTTGCTGCCCATAATATCCAGATCCACTTGGTTTATAAAAAAGAAAGCATGGTAAACAAAAAGCTGCATCTTTTGCAGGTGAATATTCCAACCATGACGGAAATAGTTTGAACCATGATGGTTGAAAGCTACGAAGATGAGTTGTTGATCCAGATTTCGGATACTTTGAAAGTATAGGTTTGTATGGACCAGCCTTAATATAAGCTCGTCGAATTTCATCACGTTGATTAACATGATAATCCTAAATCTGTATACTCCAAGATCTCGCTCCAATGAACTAATATCAATTTCTTTAACATTAATCTTTTGAGATTTTATGGGAGGATTTCAGGGATATCAACATTGGAAGTTGGCAATGATGTATTGTCAACATTGACTTCTGAGGAACTTGCATTTTTTCTTTTAAAAAATCTATCAATTGTACATGGCTTTCCCATAATAATCTACAAATCAAAATAGAATTCATTACATACATTGTAATGATCCAGAATTTTTTTTTTTAAAAAAAAAATAGCTAGTGCATAATTTAATTGAGAAATTTTTTAAATATGAGAGGGTAATTTATATGTAAATTGGGCCGAGCTGGGTAATGGGCCATTCTGTGGGCCACAGTAAGAAGGGCTGAGTAAAAGGGCCTTGTAATTAGTCCGGTCCAGAGGAGCCTTGCAGATAGCCCGGTCCGAAAGAGCTTTGTAGTTAGCTCGGTCGACATGGTCAGAGCGGCGACAGTTAGCTCGGTCAAACCATACTGAGCCGAGGTATTGTGGGCCTTTTATCAGGACCTCGCTGTTGAATAGCTCGGTTTGGGCACGCTATGGATAGCATGGTTTCAACAGGCAACCGAGGTACAACTGTACGAGAACCTAGCTAGCTTGGTGTTGTGCATTGGAGCACCAAGCTTGGTTAGCTCGGTATTAAATAAACAACCCAGTTGGAGTATGTCAAACCGAGGCGCACGCAGTGAAAGGAAGAACCGAGCTAGTTGGAGCTCGGTCTAGTCTGCGGCTTTAGCATGGTCATGTTAGCTCGGTCGGAATGACATCCAACCAAGGTAAAACCATCGCACTTGGTTTATGCAGTGAGGGGGTTGTTGAAGAATAGCATTATCCTTCAGGAGTGTGATTCCTAGGAGGACTCTGTATGGAGGAATAAACGTCCTACTAAGATTATGCCACGCGGAACCTATAAAAGCTCGTAACATCACCTATGGAGAGGTAACACAACTTTGATTCTTGAATACACAGAGCTTTTGTGTATTTGTCTATTTTGCTGACTTGGGCATCGGAGAGGTATCCGGCACACACCCGCTGGCCAGCTCACGTTTGTATTTTCAGGGAGTAAAGCAACGACGTTTGGAGGAGCGCGGACTTGATCAACAGGATTATACGAGAAGATTATTCCTTACTCGTACAATATATATATATCACAAGACATAGAAAATTTTTGTGCCTACACTAACAAATGTAATAAAAACAAATTTCATATAAATTTAAAAATTCAGAATTCAGATTCAACACATAAATTTTATACAAGTCTCAATTCATTTTAATTTTGAATTTATAACATTTAATTTGAATAAAATTAAATTTGCCCAAATATGATTAAAAAAAAACCCCAGTAATTGAAATCATGCGTCCTAATTTATGATTTTTTTTCTTAATATGTAAAATTAAAAAAATTAAAATTGTATCAATATGACATTAAAAAAAAGATAATAAAAGTATTACAAATTGAAAATAACAATAAAAGAGAATATGAATCACATACCTGTAACAATGAGAAGATTAATAGCAAAAGCAAGATTATTTTTTATTTTTTTATTTTTTTTATATGTATCCCAAGTTGATTTAACTCAAAAAAAAAAATCATTTGTTTGCTTTCAATAAATTGAGACGGCATCACGGCGTAGAGCAGGGCATATGAATTAAGTTTTCTTTCTTTCTTCATTTTGTCTTTTTCTATTTCTTTTCAGGTTTTTTTTTTTTTTAAAAAAAGAAGACACATGGCCCTCCCTAGCCATCTAATGAATAGATTGAGCCCAGCCCAGCCCACAAAACAAAAGCAGGGCCATTTTACTATTAATACTTTATTAAAAAGATACATATATAAATAATTTTTTTTTTTAAACGGGGGCCGTGGCTCCTGACAGTCCCTTCGTAATTTCGCTCCTGAACAATATAAAAGTTAACTAATATAAAATAAGTTGTATGACGATTTTGCCCTTAAAATGAACCGTTTGCAAAGGAAATATCTTTGATTATCCTTATCTAGAATAAGATTTTAAATTCAAGGTTATATGTATCGTAATTGAAAAGTCAGGTAGTAAAATGATACAAATCTTAAACTATAAGGACTGTTAGTATAATTCGTCCTTAATTTTTTTATTTTTTACAAAAATATAGACAAAAAGTAAAGAGAGAATAATATAATAATTTATAATTACTTTTTAATTCTTAACCCAAGTCTCCAAATGTGATACTCCAATTTTTATAATTTTCTTTTCATGTTTAATTTACTAAAATAAGTTCGAGCAAATGAAAACATTATTTGTTTAGCTTTCTAATAGAATTGTCATTCTCCCAAATTGGTAAATTGTGATTTCATTTCAAATTTACATTAATGTGAATAAGTATTTTGACACAGTGATATTCTAACTCTCATTCTACTGATATTTCATTTGTTTTGGTAAAAAACAAAAAAATTTCATTATTTTTTAATATACTTTTTGACATTTAGTAGTATAAGAAACAAAACTCAACGAAAGATATTTTATGTGACCAAAGAAAACAAGTTTATTGGTAAAAAATAAAAAAGTACTAAAATCTTGCTAGTACTACTATTGCCGTCACTACCACCCTTACCATCTCACCACCATCATCCACAGCCAACATCCTACCCCAATTCAAATTTAGACTGAAAATAAACAAATCCACCCTTATATAAGATTCGTTTTAAAACTAAGGCCAAGTTTGGGAAAACTAAATAAGTGTACTTTTTGACTTTTTATGAAATATAGGTTAGATTTGGGTTGGGTTTGAAGTGATGTGTTAGAGAGGTGATGTGACTTAAATAAGATGATGTGACTTAAATAGCATAGTGACTTTTTGACTTTTTAGATTTTTTGAAGGATGCCAAACTTGGCCTTTTTAACTTTCTATATTGCTTTTAATTTTTTAAAGGAAAATGTTTAGTAACTTAAAAATTTGTAGTTCAAATAGTTCAAATCTGTCAAAACGACGCCGTTTTACATTTAAAACGACGCCGTTTTACATTTAAAACGACTTCGTTTTAAGTGATTTGAGCCATTTGAGTCACAAAATTTTGAACTACCTAACATTGTTGATTTTTTAATTATATTAATTGCCAAATACAACCATAATATTTGGTAATCAAGCAATCTCTTAGATAAAGAACATTTATTTAAATTTGTCATATACTGAAGTCTCATTTAAAAATAAATTATTTTAGTAATTTTTTTGACTTTAATAAAAAAATATGTAAAAAAAATATATATATGATAATTTATAATAACTTTTTAAATTTTTTTTTTTTACTAAAATAATTACCCCAAACGTAATTTATAATAATTTTTTAATTTTTTTTTTTTACTAAAATAATTACCCCAAACGTTGCATAAATGATGTAAGAGATTGATACGTGTTTAAATTTGTTGGCCGAATATAACGGTGGATGCTTTTCCTTTCCAATTTGGTACGCAAAATCCATTCTTCATCATACTGACGTGTGTATTAGCTGGTCTGACACGATAAGATTTGGTACTTTCATTTTATTTTGTTTTGTTTTTTTAATTCTTTGAGTAAATTTACAAACACATCCTTTGAAATTTAGTGAAGACTTGGTTTGGAATATATTAAAGGAAAAATTAGTTTAAGGTTTCTCTCTTATTTTTAATACTGGAAGAAATCCACAATATTATTTTATGATGTCTAAGGTCCCTCAATCCCCAACACCCATATATCACAGAGAAATTTGATTCCTTTAAATCAAACTGCCTCTCACTCTCTTCTTTTCTCTTTGCTCTTCTCTCTCCGATGAACTCTACCTCCATCATCGGAGTTCATCGTCGTCATTTGTACTGGACCGGATCGGATACAGTAATCAAGTATATGACAGATGGTATGCTTCTGAGAGAGATTTTGATTGATGAGAATTTATCTCAGTATTCAGTTATAATGCTTGATGAAGCTCATGAGAGGACAATCCACATTGATGTCCTTTTTGGATTGTTGAAGCAGCTTGTAAAGAGGAGACTTGACCTTCGATTAATTGTCACATCTGTCACATTAGATGCAGAGAAATTTTCAAGTTATTCCTTTAACTGCAATATTTTTACAATTCTTGGAAGAACTTATCCGATGGAGATACTCTACACCAAATAGCCAGAAAGTGACTACCTAGATATATCTCTAATCACTGTTATAGAGATCCACTTGACAGAACCTGAGCGTGATATCCTCCTCTTCTTGACTGGTCAAGAGGAGATTGCTCTCTTTCTCTCTTTCTCTTTCTCTCTCTCTCTCTCTCTCTCTCTCACAACTCATACACATATAAACATCCATGTATATAGTATGAAGTTAAACTGTTTGACAAAATGCTTTTTAGAACTCC